CATTACTGCTGGGAGTTGTTTATTAGCAAGCCGAATCCGTCTCGTTCCGATTTATTACTAACTTTTTACTGAAATTATAATATCCTCTGCTCTGCAAGGGTGTAAAAACTTTATTCCCTGATTGTTTCACGGCTAGAAAAAGATTTTATTATCCATAAAGATACTCTAAAAACTATGAAACAACAATAATTTCTTTCAGTGAAAATTTTAAAGTAATGATTGCTAAAATAATTAGCAATTCAACACGTTTACTAAGGGGTATCCCCAAAATGTATAACAACAGGAAATAAGTATAAAAACAATTGTTGTTTTATATAAAACAATGTCCTTACTGCCCGAAATAATTGATTACTAACCATTTAATTGGTGAGTGCAAGTGTAGTGTAGTTCTAATTATTAATTATTAAATAATTATTTAAATAAATAATTAAATAATTAAAAATTACTGCCCCGGGAACATAAGATATACCGAGCCTCTTATATTCCCTTGATGAAGGGGAATCCATCATTTCTGGAGGTTGGATATCACTCGAAACTGCAATCGGTCTACACTGTTCTCCACGGATTCAATAAATGGGATGAATGCGTTTCATTAGCTTCACTTGTTTGACACGTGCCTCCGATCACTGCGATCCGATCGGCGATTGCTGAATACTGATCTCCCATTTCTCTGCGCTCCGTAGAAAGCAAAACTGAGTTTACCGAAAATCGAAAGCAAAGCCGAAGTATCTTGACCCTCATTAATTTAAGTAAGCCGCCAAAACATTCGCAAAAAAACATAAGGAAAACTTGAATTTTACAGTTTCAGTTTCAGCTGGGGGTTTTCAGTTTGGGGATGGGAATTCCACTATGGGCGCTGCAATTAACATACGAAATTTATTTAAATTCAATTTTGATTTCGAACGTGGACTCCAACTTGGCTTCTTGGCGGAGTTTTCACTTTCGTTCGGCATCCGAAAAATCCGAGTCTACACTGGGCATCCGCCGGCAACCTGTTTTGGCCTGACTGACTGCCCGCTTACCATGATTATTGTGATTATAGGCTGGCGGTTGTGGGGGAAACTCTTTGGTTCGAATCTGAGCGAAACCCCAAAACACACAAATTGAAAACGAAAGTAAAAATGTTTATCGAAAGAGGGGAAAACAAAGCAGAAGATCGCATAGATCGTGAGGTCCCCGTCCCGCATTTCCTAGCACCCCATCCAGCTGGTCCGTCCGTTTAGCGCCATAAATTAAGTTTGCAATTTCATGTTTTGTTTATCGGTGAAATTTGCCTGACAAAGAGACTCCTGGCCAACCGTGAGTCGGTGAAAAGTGTGTAAAATTGTCGGTGGTTATTCCCCTCCTCACAAGGGGTGCAGCGGGTGAGGGAAAACGAGCTTGACCTCGGACACCTTCCCATTCCGATCTCTCCGAAAATCCCTGGCTCACCTTGTTTCTGCGGGGCGGCTTTTTAACTTCCACTTGCACGTCCACTTCCATTTCCATCTGCACATCCCAAAACTCGGGTATCAACTGGGACAACCTCCTTGGTTAAAATTTTTATCTTATCCAACTTTTGCTAAAATATACTTTTATTTGCCTCGTTTTGCATGTTTACATTCATTTGACACTGACAATGATATGAAAACAAAAAAAAACTGGGAGAAGGAGAGACAGAAGTAACGGAAGCGGGAAATCTTATCACAATAGATAAGCAAATACTAAGATACAAATGAGAAAAGACATTCTTATTTCACTTTAAACAGAGAAATGCATGTGACTAAATAAGCTTAATTATGTTATTGTTGGTTTGTCTATTAAAAGAAAGAAGTATGTGTAATAGTAATTGGAACTTTTTTACTTTTTTTAAATAATTAATGCATTCGACAATTTCTTTCGTTTTTATTTGTTTTACTTTCCTGGCTAACTATTATATATTATTGTACCACCAGTAAATATTCAGACTAATTAGCGCTTTATCATTGTTATATATATTTGCCAAATTGCAAGTGTTGCAAGGCACAGGCAAATGCGTTATCAGCTATCAACTGGTCAGCTAGACCGCACTTTCACTTGCCAAAAGCCGAAAACAAACGTATTATGTATTTCCAGTTGATTAGCCCGGTCAGCCACGGCTAGTTCATGTCCGCATAAATTTTAATTTCAATCTCTAACAAACTCTGGAAAGTTTTGGCGCGTAGGTGGCCTGCAAATGGATCGTATTACAGGCAGATACTTTTCTATCTTTTGGCTTTAGGTTTGAATAAGTAAGTCAAACAAGACGGCCAGCTGAAGTGGAGTGGTCTCTGAATCGAAGTACGAGTGGACTGGATTGTGCTGGAGTGGGGTCTTCACATGCAAATCAGCCAGAGACAGGAAATTATTAAAGTGCCCCCGCCTCCCGAACCCACTTTTTCCAGTATAGTTTTGGTCATGTGCTGGTGGTGCCTGGTTTCGATTGCTTTCGCAGCGATTCATTAGCATTGTACGGCTTCCGTATATGGACTCCGAAAATGGATATAGTATGCGCGAGGCCTATGCTAGTTATATGGGTCAGAGCTTCCCGTAACTACGGAACGATGTGATTCAATTATCGGGAATCAGCTTTCTTTAATGTGGTCACCACTGACGAGAGACCTTAAAACCTTGGCGGTTTGTCTAGGATTACCTATTGTATAGATTACGGATTATACCATATATTCTATTGGGGCATAGGAAAAGCAAAACAACATATGAACACAACTAGAGATCCGAGTACAGATAATACGATCAATTCAAAAATCTATACCTCAAAAGATTGATTAAATCGCCGCATGATACAGCTGTATCACTTAAGATTACATCACTGAACAACTATTTAAATGTTTGTTATTCGATTCTTAACACATTGAAAATCTCCTAATTTATATATGCCTTGTATCTGCATATTAAAAGTAGTGAAGCCATCGCTTGAGATAATTTACTCATTTATCGGCTGACTTGGCCCACATTTTACGAGCACTCGAATGCTCGTGAGAATCAAGTTCGTCTGCTGAAAACTCCTTCTTAACGCCGTTTAAAACCACTTAATACTCCGTGGGCTAGGCCAATGCCAGTCTGGCAGGCCTAGAATCTTACAGGCCAGATGAGAGACGACGAACCAGTTCGATATCCAGTTTGGGCGCACTTGCAGTCAGACGCAGATGCAGATTATGCAAGCTCCTCAGCCAAATTCTAGCGCAGATTGCGGTAGTTGACGTCACAACGGAACTTGCCGTTAGTTATTGGCCAGTCGTAATCCCCTCTGATCGAGAATCATGAAGGTGGAGCAGTGAGCGAAAGTCGTCAGGAGATAAAAAATGCTGGCTGAAGAACTAGTAGTGGCGGCACACTATAGCAATTAGTTGATACATCTGGTAGCTTTAAAACTGTTTCAGAAGTACGGTTTTCATTTTATAAAAATCGAACGACTAAATATTATAGCTGCCTTAGGAATGATCGAAAGAGTAATCAGAAAAAAACTTTAGATATATAAACTTAAGGGTAAATAAACTTCGGCTTGCATATATACATATGATATAATTGTTTAGGATAATAAATAACTTTAATAATAAAGTTAAGTATTTAAATTAAATTTAATTTAGATTTTTTTTTAAATACATACTATATCCTGTACTACCGCTATGTTCAGATCCCTATTATCGAGTCATTAGGCTATCGAATAATAAAGACTTGGAAAGCACTCTCCTCGAGTTGCACCCAACAATTACAAATTGCTCAACTCTCACCCCGCGCTTTTACCACCAAAGCCTCATCAACATTACTACAATCGCACAAAAAGGCTACCAAAAATTATTAATAATTAATTATTGTTGCACAAATGCCCGAAGTTGTGCTGCATCGCGCTTTCAGTGCCGCTCCCCCGCACGCCCCGCCATGTAATTTGCTGCATCGAACGACGTTTGATTTTTATTTTTTGTTTGTTATGCGGTGCGCAGCATTTCGTCAGCTCATTCAATTGAAGCTCATTGAGACGCACTCGATCAGGGGGCGGAGTGAGCGGGACGGCGGCCAATGGGCACTTAATTTCGCTGGGGCGCATTTCACTTTCATTTCTCCACAATCAAAATGCGTCGAATACCCGTAACCGGGCATCCGAGCATCAGCGAATGGATGGAGCAACTGGGAAAACTGAGGCGCAAAAATTTCAATTTCATTTTATTTATAAGCGGCCAGGCGACACTTTTGAATGCAAATGACGCTATATGGTTGGTCAGGTGAGAGCTGCCTCTCTATGCCTCTTTTCCCCTGACCCCTTTATTGTCCCTCTCCTCATGTTTCACAGGGGGAAAACATTAGGAGTGCAGAAATTGGCATAAAAAAACCTGTTAAGCAAAAAAGGGATGCCCAATAAATTTCTTGAAGTATTAGCTTGGGAGTGCAATCGAAATTGAAAGAGGAAGGGTTTTAAAAATGAAGCTAACCAATTTTTCTGGATTTTTTAAAATTAAACTTACGCTGCATACTGATAACCAGAATCTGCATTACAAAACTTCGACGTTCATACGGACGGACAGACAGACATGTCTAGATCGACTCGGCTATTGAACCTGATCAGGAATATATACTTTATAGGGGCAGAAACGCTTTCTGCTACCTGTTACATACTTTCCAACGAATATCATATACCTTTTTATTCTACGAATAACGGGTCTAAAAATATAATTTAGCTTAAACATGATACTCAATTAGTTTTTCAAAAACTGCGAAATTATTAAATCGCTTTGAGGAGATTTAGAAAAATATTTAAATTACAGAGGAATATTAACTAAAGCAAAGTTTAGCATTCCCCTAAAAACATATTTATTCCACAATATAAAAATGTACAAAAATAAAAATAAGGTTCCGATTAAAGTTGCATAACATAAAAAGCTAGGAAGCATTCGGGTTCGTGTAGTACGTGAAAAGAGGAACTCTTTACCTGTACCTAACCAGAGACCTACAGAATGCAACAACACAGAGGGTCCCTTAACACTCACCGGGTTGATCTTCTCCATGAAGACACTGATTTGGTTATTGGCGGACATTGTGACGCACTGCTAATGAGACAGCTTTTCAGCACTTGAATCTGGATCGGAGAACTACGACTTTGCAAGTGTTTTGTCTCGCAGATTTGGATGCAGAAAAAATCCACACATCACGCACTGCACATTGTCAATTCACTTGAGGCAACAAAATTAATAAAAAAAAAATATATTTATGTATTTAAATAGATGATCGCGACGTTGACTGCGTTGAAAAACCGCACGCGCGCGCGTATTTCCAATGTTCGATTTTGATCAGTTTGACTTTTATAGTCTACAGTTTGTTGAATAGTGTTTTGCCTTTTACAGCCGGGGGAAGTAAACTCGCGTGCGTTCTTTTCGACGGCTGGCAGCGAATTGAACGCTCGCCGCTCAAAACGTGCCCACGGCAGCGGCGGCTTTGCCAAAAGCAGCAGAAACAGCAGCAGCAGCACACTGTCGTGAGCCGAAGAAGTTAGCCAAGACAGAGTGGCAGCGACAGGTGCCAAAAGAGAGCGCGAGAGCGAACGCGAAACCGGCTGGCGGCAGAAAGCGGGATTCGAGCCCCATCTGTGCCTAATGCCAGAGACGCCACTGTGTCCCAGTCCCCGTCTTTGCGCTCCACCCCTTCGCCTTGGCCCGCGGATTGGGGCCGCCTGATGGGTGGTGGATGGTGCGAGCTTTTCGAGTGGAAGGGGAAGTTCATTCCAGGCAGGTTAAAAGTGCAGTGCTTTGAGAAGAATGGAAAGCCAACTGATAGTACACGTACCCTGCTCTGATTAATAAGCGATTTGTAAGTCATAAAATAAAAAATAATTGCTGAAGTGAAGTAACCTGGGAGCTACAAATATATATCACTAGTTAATATTGAAATGTGGTTGGTTCCCCACATCTTATGAACAAATGGTTAAAAAGGGCCAACATATGTATGCTAGTAAATACTTAATATATACGAAAATAGTCGTAATTATGTGCCAAACTATAAAAATAAAATCCAAACTTATCATCAATTTAATTGGTAAAGACTCATATGAAACTTATACAAAGGTTGTAGTTTACTTGGATTATATTCGTTCACAAGAAAGTGATTAAAAAAAATCAGAATTTGTTCATTTTGAACTGCAGAGATATGTATTCCCTAATAAAATACAAAAAACGTCCAATATTTTTATTTGAAAACGGTTGAAGTGAATTTAAATGCTATGACATTAAGGTGCTCAATAGTTTGGTATTTTAATTAACCTAACAAGAAACTCATGAGACAGAAAATGCACTTCCAAGTAAAGATCAACGAGGGAGTATACAACAAAGGGAAGGGATAATCAATAGCCCTGTGAAATGGAGCTGCAGGCCTGGCGCTCAACACAATAGCCCAAACGATGTGACAGACTTTTATAGACAGATATAATCGAACAACTAAATTAGCTTTGACAAATCAGACACAAAAAACAGACAATTGCAAGTCTGTTTGGCAATTGTAGGCTCAAAGCCAGAGTCGAAGTCAAAGTCAAAAAAAATTTAAGGTCGTCACAAATAAACTTGTTTTTCCCTCCTTTTTGTTTTGTTTTTGCAAGTGTCATGCAAAAAATCAAATATCATGGCAACACTGCTGTCTTAAATTCCCCTTCTCTGCCCGACACTCCTCAACGATTCTCGTCTCTTTTTATGTAACGGTCCTTGTTAGAGCCAACGTTGTTTATATTACACCGATCAGCGGTGTTATTGGTGGTTATTCAATTTTGCGCTGACAGTCTTTAGTTGCCAACCGTTCTTCGTTTGCCTTTTCTCGCTGTATTTGTACTTTATATGCTTTTGAAACGAAACCCTTTGCAGATATTTAACTCACCTGTTAATTGGCTTTGTTGTTGGACTTAGTATTTGGCTGAAAGAAAAAGAAGAGGGCGGGAAAGAGGCAAATTAGTTTAAACCTCCACATTGACTATTGTAATCTTTCCGTACCGACCCAACTTTAAAATGTTAAAATTCCATTTATAGGTGTTTTTTTATGGGTGTATAGGGAAAGCTAACACGCTTCGATCGCAATTACTTGGCCATTATGCGGACAGGAATAATTCCCCATTAGCCGCTTTTAATGGAGTGGCTAGGAAAACGTGTGAGATAGCGCAGCAGCTATAACTCAAAGAATCAATTTAATTTCCGCCACCAAGTCCGCACAAAATCAGTTTTTTTTTGCCTCATCTAGGCACTCCCTTTACGCAATTCCATTCCCAGCTAATCGCAGGTGCTCTCATCTCATCTAGTTTCTCCCGCTATGAGATCGTGCGAAATCTATTTTACGCCTCCTCCAAATATTTCAAAGCTCTAAAAGAAGTACAGATACGGTCGTTGAAAGTGAAACATTGTCAACGGCTTCTTTAATTTATTTTTCTTTCTTTTTTTTCGGCTGTTTAAATTAAAAGCGTTTTCATTTTCACTAGAAAGCAAAAAATACAAAAATTTACGGTCCTCTTCATATTCTTGCCGGCCAAAAATCGCAGTGAAATGGAGAAATAAACAAACAATTTGTTCGAGCGCGCACCTGACTTGAATAAGTCAGAAAATCTTCACACTCTCCTTTTCCCTCTGCCTCTCTTGTACGCCCACTGAATGGCAAGTGGGTGATGTGAATGTAGGAAAGCGGGCGGTCAGGTGTTGGACGCAAGTAAGGGGCGCGACAAGTTTGTGGATAAGTAACTAGATCGGATTTCAGTTTATTTGCATACCAATTCCATGACTTTTCTAGTAGAAAATCAAAAGACTTAGGCAACGAACTTGGGAAAGGTCCTGGAAAATAAATTGACCTCAAAAACAAAAACCAATTAATGAGAAATTGTATTTTTAAAATGCATAAAAAGGATGAGAAAATCTTTTAATAAAACTATTATAATGACGGGTGCCCCTCCCTTTGGCTGATCAGACGCTCGCACATCCGTCAATTGGCCCGGCTCTTTCCGGCTTACGATTTACGGCTTGCAACTCTTGGCTTTAGGGCGGCGACTTCTTTGGCCAAAACCGGCAAGGGACCAGAGGGGCGGGAAGTTGGCCGAGAGACTGACAAATTGATATGCATATTCGGTCGACATTAGCATATGTCGCGTATGCCTTTATTAACTATTCCGCTCAGCTAATATCGGTTTCACCCACCCCAAAAAGGGGCGTTCGAGGGGACCTGGTGGTAAATTGTGCATGGCAGATGAGTTGACGCACGAGTATTTCAAATTTGTTAAGAAAGTCTCGCTAACGCTTCCCATAAGAAAGTTTGCCTCTGTGGCGGGTTGAATGACTCAGAAATCAAAATAAAAATTTGTGTTTTATTGTTTTCATCGTTAGCCAATAAACATTTTAAGGGCGAAACTCAAGTGAAAAAGTTACAAGTTTCAAGGTAAAAGTTTCCTAGTTGACATCATCGGCTACTCGGATTGCAGAAATTTATACTTGGATTTTTAAGTCGCCATTAAGATTGCATTTAAAAAATAAAAAATGCTAAGGCCCTTAAATGCTTTGTGTGTACTAAAAGGGCATCAAATACCATCGTAAATAAGTCGTAAATAAATCGGCCAGAGTGCAATAGAATTCTCAGTTAAATGGACAGGAGTTTAGACATAAGAGGTACGACGCTTAACCCTTTGCCTTTTCCCTAGAAAGGGCCACTCTAGATGGCCACTCCGTTTCTGCTCCTCCCCGTTTAATTTGTTAAGAACTTTAGCTTCAATTTTTAGTGGACTTAATTGTTGATGCTGAAAAGCCGCAGCGAACAACGATACGAATGTATCACAAGCAGGGGGAAAATATATGAGAAGAAGGGAGCTCAAAGAAGGCGGGGATCCGACTGCGCATTTTTTCTGCTGCTGTGGCAAGCGGAGATTGCATTAAAAAACGTGAGTGCGTGAAATGTCTACAACAAAGTCAAACATTGCAGTTGTTGGTTTTTTGGGTAATCACTTCAGTTGTTGTCCAGTTGTTTTCGATGTAATTGTTATTGTTACTGTAGATCGCTGTTTTTGGGGCCATCGAAATGTGTCAATGCGGGATGAGCGTTCCATCAGGGAAAATAACAATTTGGATTGTTTTTATTGTTACTCCAATAGAGATTGATATGGTTGGGCAGGATCGGTAAGCCTTGTGGGCATGAATATATGCGGAACAGAATGGATAAAGAGAGAGAGTACAAAAATGTTCAAATCAAGTTACAGCCTTTTAAAAATAAAACTAATATGAAATATTGAGATTATATATTTAAATATCCCATTTAATCACTCAAAGGTTATTTGCTTTCCCCAACAAACCTTTGTTGAGTACAGCATTTTTTATTAGGGATCTGCTATCCAACTCTTGCTCTCTCTATTCCCAGTACCCTTCTTACGATGCCTTGTACGAGTCGCACTTAACACACATCCGAACCGTTAGACCCACAAACTGAACTATTACTTAATTTCGTTATAATGAAAATGAACAGAGCTCGGAACAGAAATTAAACCTGCCCCACCAAAACCAAAGCAGCGATCGAACTTCCATTTAATTTTCTTTTGATCTTCCATACATTGGTCACGTTTTACGTAATCCCAGCGAGACAAAGGTAGACGAGAGCTTCCATTGTTTCTTCTGCCAGAAAATTAGAAGCAAGTCAAAGGGAAAAAGCATGAGAGGGGGGAAAAATAAAATTAAAAATCAACCGCTTTCGATTTCTATTTGAATATGTAAAGCGACCAAAGACCAGCAGCAGCCAACCAAGCCATTGGATGGTGTCCAATCTTAACCCGTTTCAAACCCATCCTCCACCGACTAAAACGAAATTCCCATCAATTTATTTTCTTCTTCTTCATCTATAGGTTTTGAATTGGTTCGGTGTTTTTGGATGCTGTTTGTTGTCTTGCAGGGTCCATTTTACACATTTCTATACAATGATTTTTGCACACACCACAATGAAATAAAATTTAAATCATAATAAATTTAATTGGTCGTAAATAACGTTCAAAGGCGTCCGAAAATCCCAGCAAAAATGCTCGGCAACAACGAGCGATCTCTTCGAATTTTTTACCAATGTATTATAGAAAATATGTCAGTGTGCGTGTGTGGTTAATAATTTTACGGTTGCTTGTGTTTTGATTAACATTAAAAAAGCGTAACAATTAATTTGTTCAACGACCGCAGAAAATTTAAGGCAAAGATGAAAATTGAAACAAGTTAAATGTTTGAAAAACGGTTTCATACTTTTTAAACATTCCAATGTAAAATTAACTTTACTAAATGAGTATTCTGCAACAATTAAAGGAATATTTTTTCAAAAGGATACTAAAGCAAATGGGAACTAAATAATTATAGGTGGGTAGATTTCGATCAATTACAAATACTTTACAAATTCTGGTAAAAAATATTTCTCAATTT